TTTGTACATAACACCGAGTGACACCCCTGTGAGAATTTCTAGTTTTGTTATGTGTCTGACAGTGAGGATATTTTGTATACTCGTTTCAAAATTTTAAGTCTAGAGGTGTGGGTTTTATTTAGTCTTGGATCTGCTGTTACAAATCATGCCAAGAATGATTTCCAAGAAGATAAATTCACCACCAGATTTAACAGGGAGACCAAGCAGGGCCCAGAGCCATTCCAGGTATGGGAGGGGTGCCAAGGAGAAGGCAGCACACATAACCAGAAAACAATCAAACAAACAAACAAAAAAAACCTACTGTGATCCTATCAGAAAATTCTTAGAACTTAATTTGGGAAGCCTTATAAACTTAGACTAAAAGATGAACCCTTAGCTGACTTTCATAGTTATCCACATGCAAAAGGGCTTTATTCCAAAAAGTTAGACATCTCATTCCCGGAAGCCAGGAACTTTATAATGGCATCTCTAGGTTGGAACTGGTACAGGTGTTATGTGCAACATTCTACATTTAAAATCATTTCCCTCAAAATGTGCAGATCATTAGTACATTGTCTTCTGATTCCCACATTTTTGAGAAGTTTGGTATCCTTTTAATTTCTTTTCCTTGTGACTTTTGTTTTGCCCTTTGAAACCTTTTAAGATCTCTTTATATCCAGTAGAAGCATCTAGTGAAGCCTGAGGAAAGAGGAGGTAACAAAATGCCTTTTCTCATTACAAGTCTTACAGCACTGTTTAGCATTTTGAACTTTGGTTTTTTGTTTGTTTGTTTGTTTGTTTGTTTTGGCTCATTCGGTTGAGTGTCTGACTTCGGCTCAGGTGATGATCTTATGGTTCGGTGCTGACAGCTCAGAGCCTGGATCTGCTTCAGATTCTGCGTCTCCCTCTCTCTCTGCCACTGTTCTGCTCATGCTTGTGCTCTCTCTCAAAAATAAACAAACTTAAAAAAAATATGTATATAAAAATATCATGAGTTCACAGCAATATTTCTTTTTTTTCTTTCTTTTTTTTTCTTACAAATAGTTTATTGTCAAGTTGGTTACCATATAACACCCAGTGCTCATCCCCACAAGCGCCTTCCTCCATGCCGATCTCCCCTCCCCCCCACACCCATCAGTCCTCAGTTTGTTCTCAGCATTCAAGAGTCTCTCATGGTTTGCCTCTCTCCCTCTCCCCCACTATTTCCCCCCTTCTTCTCTCCCAGCATTTTGAACTTTCTATTAAATATTATAAGATAGCCAGATCATGTAAGACCTGGAAAGGGTATTGAGGTACATCCCAGAGATGGCTTTCTGCATGACACATTTGTTATTCCTCTGCTATGGCCTGTGATACAATTTTTAAAAAATTTAACTTATAAATGTTTTTTAAAATATTTTTCATTCATTCATTCATTCATTCATTCATTCATTTATATTATTGAGACAGAGAGAAACAGAGCATGAGCGGGGAAGGGTCAGAAAGAGAGGGAGACCCAGAATTGGAAGCAGGCTCCAGGCTCTGAGCTGTCAGCCCAGAGCCTCAAACTCAAGAGCCATGAGATCGTGACCTGAGTTGGAGTCGGTCACTTAACCGACTGAGCCACCCAGGCGCCCCTAAATGTTTAAGTTTTAAAAATTTATGTAAGAACTTTAGAATATCAAATGAAGGTACCGGAACAAATACGGAAAACATGAATTTTATACATACATCCAGGTGCTAGGTATGCAGTTACGTCATGTTCTGCATGTTTGAAGTACTCACTTTGTAAAATAAGGCCAGATGCTGAGGAAGGTGACAGGGCCAAATGGCATGAGAATCCGGGGCTCCAGTCAGCCTGCGTGGCCCCTATTACTGTAGCACACGGATCCCACATTCCGACTCGGGGTCTGGTGAGACCAAGTAAAGGATGAAACTCTTAATCACCACGTTAGTTCATCTAGTTCGTCCAGAATTATTTTAGGCACCACTGTGTACCGTGAACTTGGATGGGCCTTCAGGATACACGGTGACCCAGACGCCATCCTACTATTGTGTGCTTCCCTTGTTTACCCTTTTAGGTTGTAGCCGTTCCATAGTTGTCACTTCCTTGTCTTGCTACATCCTTTAACTGACCTACTGGAAAACTATCTTCATAATCAAAGAGGAGGCTACCAGAGTTTTACCAGACTTCTTTGTAATGTACCATAAATCCAGTTAAGCAAGAAGTTTCTCCTGGAAGACCACATGGGGGCTAGAAAATCATTAATAACATCTGACCCAGCCTAATGTAGGTCACCGGGCTTCACCATTTTCCTAGGAAACTGGATGGCCTCCCCAGGGTGGTGCAGGCAGGCAGAGTCGCAGCGAGTTCTGTCAGTGCCTGCCACTCCCGGTGCTGGCACCCTCCCCAAGCACTGTCTCACCAGGTCCTCTTTGCCTCCTCTCCTATCCATTTGCCACTGCCTCTTACGTCTAAATTAAGTACCTCCCCTGGGAAGCCTTCTTTAATCTGCCCCACCCCATTAATTGCTGCTGCTTTTAAATTTATGAGGGCATTTTACATTCTCTTTTTATGGCATTGAGGTTATTTTTGTGAATGGCTTTTCTCCCTTAATAGCCTGTGATTTTCTTAAGAGCCAAATCTAACTCATTTTGTCTTTGTCTCCCCTGTCTAAAACATTGTTTGGGGTATAGTGGGTGTGCAGGTCTTTCTAGATATAAAGTACATCTAGAACACACGTTAATGCCTTCCCTTCTTGGGTCCACATGGCCTAGCAGGACTGCGTATGCTCGCCCCGGTTCTGTCCAGAGCTGCCTTGGGATGAGCTCCCCAACGGCCCCCAGGACACCTGGATCTGTCTCATGGATGTCACTCTTCCTGCCTTGTTGCATGAAGGCTGATGGTTCACAGTATTCGAGAGTCAGGAATGGTGTGGTCCCAGGAACCACCCCATCGAAGAGTAGGTCTGCATCTGTATAAGGATACTTGGCATTGGTCATATTTCAGATTCTTTTCAGAGTGCCAGTACGTGAACTTATTTTCATAAAGCCAATTGTAAAACACGTGAGGTTTTCTGAAAGTCAAGCGGTGGCCTTAGTTAGTTCTTTGTTATCTGGCTTTTGTCATTTCATGACAGGCACTAAGCTCTGGTTTAACATTTTTATTACGTATGAATAATAGAGTACATATACTGAGGTTTCGTAGATGTAATTTTGTTAAATGTACATCATGGTAGATTTTCAAAATGAGGGATTTATTTTGTCATTCATAAAGTTGTAATACAGTGTGGAGAAACTATTTGTTAAAAGATAGCATCTACTTAACCTCCTTATTTATTTCTTGTAGGAGAAGGTTAGATCCACAATAAATACATGAAGAAATAAGTAGATAGGGGAATTTATCTTGGAAATAAGATCCCTGTCATGGTTTTGAAATGTTAAATGCATGAAGACCCGTCAGGGAGATATACGGACATGATATTTTTTTACAGTGCATTTCGAAGTATTTAGTTCTATTTGTCATTCTCTAGTACAGTAAGCAGTGATCAAAGGATACAGTAATTTCAGTCAGTCTGTGTTCATGAGTGCAAATATAGTGTTTCTATAGATACATTATTTGGTTGTATTAATTGGCAATTTTAATATTAATAAAGCACTTAAGAAATTTTTCTATGACATTTCTTAAATATTTAGCCATTTTTACTTCTGTAGCATTTAATATCTATTGTTACAAAAAATTATATATAACAAATGAAGAGGGATTTTTATAAAAGTTGACTTCATAACTCGATTTCTAAGAATTTGTGAAACTCCAATGATTAATTTGTTAACGTAATTTATACTCACCTCAGAATAAGTAAGGTGATGATTTGGAGCTCATGATTTCCTTCTGTACCCTTATGGGATTAAGGAAAATTGTAAAATCACAGTTAAAGCTTTTATGGATAGAATAAACTTTTCTCACTTACATCTCCTTATGTATATCATGGTCTAAAACGCACATATTACAATCCTAGTTTTTAATTGCATTGACTTGCTAAAAGTATAGACTGATTTATGATTGTCATAGCAGGCTGCCACGGTCTCTCTTCTGTGGCATAGCACTCATCCACTTATTAAAATATTTTAATTTTGAATATTGGGTTTTAATTTGCTTTTATTTGACTGTTCATTATCCTGAATTAATTAGCTGGACATTATTAGTCACAGGCATTGCTTTAAACAAAATTGTATTCGAAACAAAAAGTAAATTTCAGTGATGATTTCGTGAACACAAGCAAAGAGGGACAGAAGCTCACCAGAAGGAGGATTTAAGGTTTCTGTTGATGGTTCATATCGCCCTGATGACGAAGGGTGAGCTCAGGGGCTCCAGTGTTTTCTGGCGAGAGTGTGTTATGTGTTATTTTCATTTTTTTTTAATGCAGAAAGTAATTGAGGTTTATTTTTCTCAAAGGTTGCTTTATAAAAAGGTATAGTTGGTTATAACCTTATATTTATTCTAATCAGAGGGAAATTTTTCTCATGCATCCTTAGGGTAACGCAGAAGGACACCTGTTCAGGAGACTCCTTTGCATTTTCCCTTTCTCCCCGGGAGCGGCGCCGGTCCAGGCAGGGCCCGGCCCTGACGGCAGCCGGCAGCACCAGCCGCCTCTGCCCGGCAGAGAGCAGGGCTTGTCTGAGTAGTTTAGTATGGATAGCTTTTCATTTAGCCTTTGCTCTGACAGCCCATGCCCTGGATAAGTGGTGTAGGCCTGTGCAGGTGAAATCTATTCTCACATTTGCCTCAGGGGTGACTGGACTGTAACAGAATTTTTCAAACCCGTTGGGCCCAACCGCAAAGCAGAGAATAAATGGCTGAGGTGCCAGGCCTCGACAGAAAAATCAATGCCTGGTTATACAGACATGACAGACCGGGCCTGCGGTCCTGCTCACGGAGTCTGTGCACTCGCCACGTTTCAGGGTTAAAGCACGCTCCTGTCTGGGGCCCTCGGTGGCACTGCGGGGCGGCACTTACCTCGTGTTCTCTCTCCCCCGTGCAGGAAATTTACATGCCACCTGTGCGACAGAAGTTTCACGGAGAAGTGGGCCCTGAACAACCACATGAAGCTGCACACGGGAGAAAAGCCATTTAAGTGTACCTGGCCCACGTGCCACTACTCGTTCCTCACGGCCTCCGCCATGAAGGACCACTACCGGACACACACAGGTGTGCGCCCCTCCGCGCGCGCCCTGGGCTGGGCGGGCGGCGTGCACGCGGCCTTGCCTCCCCCAGCCTGCCCGTGGGAAGATACGGTTTTTCAGTGATGCTCAGGGTAATTGTAAAGTGGCATTCAAATGGGAGTGTGGGTACGCACACGCGTGCATGTGTTTGAACCAAACCAAGTTTCATACCCAGAAGCTTTTTATATCGTGTGTGTACATATATGCGTGTGTTTCAACATTATCTTTTTAGATGTAATCTTGGTAGATCATTTGAGGATAATAAGTTTTCGTGGAGGACTAGTCTTAGATTTTGTGACCAATATAAACTCGGTTCCATAATATTTTTGAACATTGAGTTTTGGTTTTCTGTTCCATTTAAAAAATTCTTAGTGAGATTAATATTTCTTTTAAGAGAATACTGTCAGATCCAAGAATTTTTGTTAATACGAAGAAAAGAGTCTGAATTTAACTACTGTAAATTTTTTAGATAAGTATATATTTCAAAAGTACAAATTCACACGTTTTACCTCACAGCATTTAAAGGACCATATGTGATTTAATCTGGTTGATAGTAAAAGTAGCATTAGGAATACACCTATGCTAGGCATGGTACTGAGAGCTCTCCGTTTAGACCTTCATAAATATATATCCCCTTCATTCCCTGCTGTTATAGTCACTGTTTGTGACATGTTTTCCATTATCTAAGGACAGTGGACCCCGAACTCCTTACAGGCTTAGAGTTGAGTACACTCCTGTCTCTGTAGCTGTACTACCATGAGCTATTTGGTATTTTTGTCGTCTTTCTCTTTACACCTCTCAGAAAGTATTTTGTTTCAAGGGGAAAAAAATAATACATTTTAATCAGCATTCCCAAATGTTTTCTGATTGCCAAGAATCCTATATTATTGTTAGAAATTATAGGTTAAAAGTTCTTCTGAAGCAGTTTGTGGGAAGCCCAGGCCTCCTTAGCTTCCTTGACAAGGGCGGTGACGATTTAAGGTCTCAAGCCTGCCCTGAGAGATCACTTATATCGAACAGCAGATGAAAAGCCAGTGCAGATGTAATTTATCGTCGGCGTTTCCTTCTAAAGAATAATTGTGGAGACTTGGCTGGATCAATAATATGGATTTTTGTTGTTAGGTCTTGTAGTCTGCACCATAATGAGAGATAGGGGACAGTGGCTGTTTTCTAATAGAAAAGAAAGGATTGGTTTCCGTGTCTTTCTACATTTGAATGCAAAATGGTGCACTTGAAACTAATTCAAGTTGTTAAGAAAAGTCTCTCATTAGATCTCTGCTGTCATATGAATATGGCATGTTAAACGAACCCCCTTTTTCGAGTGAAATACTACGTTTAGTTTTTTCTTAAAATTTTTTTTTGAAAAATACTCTGATGTCCACTATCCAACCCTATTGCCTTTACCCCTCAAAAAAAAAAAAAAAAAAAAAAAGCCAGTGAAATTGAATTTCAGATGAAAAAACAAATCAAGCCACCAAGGTAAATATGACGTACAATACATTGCACACTAACATCCTAAATAAAATTCTGTACTTCAGGAAATCAAGGTCACTAATGTGTCTAGAATTGAATCACATTGAAAATTAACAATTTTGTCTTTGTACCTATACATATCTTAAAATAGAAAAGGGAATAAAACTTAGTATGTACACACAGCACATGCCCCTGTCCAAAACACACACCTCAGGAGGAATTGCCTGTTCTTAGAAGAAGAGAGACACAGGTCACAAAGAAGTTCATACATGAGAGGAAGGAATTATATTTTTCTTGCATCTGGAAGAACGAAGACTGTTCTTTCCTTATTAGACATTTCACTAGTTGCCTGGCACCAGCACCAGCGCTGTAAGCGTCACACCACACAGCACACATGTGTGATTCGGGGCGTGCCCGGCTGCAACTGGGCACAGAGCGCTCCCGCCCGCACACCCCGGGTTAACGCCCACGGCACTGTGCTGGCAAAGACATGGCCGAGGACAATTTGCCTCAACATAGAGTAGTATGTTAATATCAATGAGCAGATTATCTTATGGGAGTTTTAAGAAGTCTACTTTCAGTGTTATTTAATTGATAGTATGGCTAGTTGGGAAGATTTATATTCCAAATTGATTAAATAATTAAATGAGTGGTTATAATTAAACTGTATTCTTCATAGCCATCTACTCTATTCTTTTTTTTCTTTTCTTGAAATGATGATGCCAAGGGACAAACTTAACCCCAAAATAGGAAAGCAAAGATAGGGAAAATATTTAAATTCAACTTTATTTTATAAACGCCAACAGTGAACACTTTCACATACCATTGGGAAATGAGGTTAAACATAATTTGGTTTAACCCTCTCTTTACGAATACATTTTGTTTAAATGAGAAAAGCTGTCAAGTAAAGGGGAGGCTCTTTTGGTTACGGAAGTTCTTCCGCCTTCCTAGATTTACTCTGTTTTTTCTAGCTTCACAAAGGTAATCCCCATTTCCAAAACACATCCAGCTAAATGTCTGCTGTAATATGCCAGAAGATTTTAGAACAAAAGCCAGCTGACTTGGGAAAACCCCTTGAAAGACTTGTTGTATTAAACATCTACATGGTAAAGTATATAAAAATAGAAATGATTTCTTTTGGGTCCTGAAAATTATTTCATAGTTTCCCCTTATCTCTCCACGGTCACCATTTTCATTCTCCTTGGTCCTTCCTCTTGAGCCTTGTGGGGTAACTGCCCCGCTGGCCAGTACCCACTGCCTGAATGTGCAGCAGGAAAGGGATAGATTGCATTTGTTAACTGTAGGGGAGAATGTTCACTTGTGTAAAAATGCTAAAATGGAATGAGCGTTTACACACTTTCAACAAATACTGAGGCTACCAAATCTGTCTCTAATTGTTGCAGAGGTTTTCAGTCCAGAATTGTCATTAAAGATGAATAATTGAAGGTTCTGTACAGTTTCTTCAGCAATCCCTTGACTCCCTTTTTTATGCCATGAAAGTTTGAGAAACATAAACAGCCTTGAATTGTTATTGGCCCTGAGTAATGCAGATTTTATTGTGACTTGGGATCTTCAGTATGTTCAAGGAAACCATTTAATTCATATTATTAAGTAGGAAGTCATTAAAGAAGAACCTGATAGAATCAGGTAAAACCAATTCAGTCTCCTTCAGTTGTTAGAAAATTCAATATGTTTTATTTAAGCAGAATCATAGATACTGTATATTAACTATTCCAAGCAATCTTTACTCAGCTCAGAAAGGCCAGATGTATGGGAATTGTAAAAAATCAGGATATGCATAAAAACTGTTCAAGTGCATAAAGCAGCCCCATCTGGAAGACATCTACCAGAAATGAAGTTGTACAAAACCGTTCCATTGATAATAAAGCTAATTTTTATGGGTCTGACAAGTATGTAATTATGTTCAGTGGTGCTTTTCAGATTTTATCACAGTCAATAAACCGCAGTGGTAATTTCATTCCCATTTGACATATTTACATGGAAACATTTGATTGGAGGAATTAGTAACCCTGAAAGCCTTGATAGATATGTTTTAATGATCTGTGACCTCCGCAGTCCCTCATCTGTTTATTGTTGCAACAGGCGAGAAGTCGTTCCTGTGTGACCTCTGCGGCTTTGCGGGCGGCACGCGGCACGCCCTCACCAAGCACCGGCGCCAGCACACAGGTCAGTCCGGCCCGCCGCTGCCCGCGGTCGCTTGTCCGCTCGGGTTTTGGGAAATCCGTGTACTTGAGGGTCTCCCAAAAATTCTGTTCGAATAACTTGCGGTATGGATTCACCTGTTTTCATATGTGGAAAGTGGGCCCTCTGTAAATTCGGGTGACGCAGGAGGAAAAAGAGCTTGCCTGCAAAGTGCGGATGCACCAGGCGCCCCCTCTGCAGCGGAGCCTCTGCCTCGGCAGGCGTCATGGGTGAGGCTTCGGGTTCCTCTCAGCGTGCCCCCTCCCCTCAGTGTCTCCCGCCCACTTTCCTGGACCCACCCTTACCCCCTTAGCTGGCCACGTGCTTGTCTGCAGACCTGCCTTCCGGGTTGCATCTCCGGCCACCTAACCCCCTGCACCCTGTAGCCCACGGCCCCCCTGCAGCTGGGGCCGTTGGGCGCGGGGTTAGGTCATCACCATATGTGTCCCTGCTCTTAGGAAGGGACAGCAGCAGAGAGGGCAACGTGAGTAGATAGTGGTGCTGAAGAAGATCCATCTTCCTGAGGCACATTATGACTCGACAGAATAAGAATGATGCCTTGGTTAGGGATACTTCAGAATGAAGCGTTTTAAATATTTATGAAAATCAGTTACTACTTGGACTTTTAAGTAATTATGTTAATAATTGTAAATTATATGTGCCTGAGACAGTGCTGTTATGGCCTTTTCCTTTCTAATTTTTTTTGAAGTTGATAGAGAGAGAGAGAGAGAGAGAGAGATCACAAGGTTGGCGAAGGGCAGACAGAGGGAGAGAGAGAACCATAAGCAGGCCCCACGCTCCATGCCGAGCCTGGACGTGGGGGTCCATCTCCCAATTGTGAGATCATGACCTGAGCCAAAATCAAGAGTCAGATGCTTAACCGACTAAGCCACCCAGGGGCCTCTGTCCTTCTAATTATTAATAGAACTATTTTATTATCAGAAGTGACCTCGTGTAGATGATCAATCATGTGGTAACATGATTTGTACCGAAATGTTGGACTTTGCCGTGGGGACCAGGACAATGATTGTTTGACAGTTACACTCAAATGATGGCATAAAATGAAGATACATGAAATTTGTTGTCTGTGGTTCGTGTTCAGTCTTGATATGTCATACTTAACGAATAGCTATAGGTAGCTTTAATCCCAGGATGGTATTTTTAATGATCAGTGGAAATTAATGCCATTTCTTTCAGATCTTGAGTTTATATGATTCACATCTCCATAGGAGGTTAGAGTTAGTATTGCATTTAGAGAAATTTCCAGTGTTTTAACATGATGTTGGAGACACACACTTAACTTTTGTGAATGTGAGAGTCCATTTCAAGTTTAGCGTAGCCGTCTATCCCTGTGATCAGTGACTTAGGGGACAGGAGAAGGAGCCCCGAGGCTGGGCGTCGTCGTCAGCGGCCCTCTTAGAAGTTGAACATGTGTGCATGTGGCAAAGTGTGTTTGTCGGTGCCCGAAACCGTCCTGTCGCAGTCTTTGTGGCCCGCCCAGTCACGCCCCCCTGTGGCCTGGGGACCCGCAGAGCCTCCGGTGCGCCACCCGTGCCCGCCTGGCAGCGCCCCCCGCCCCCGTCCCCTGCGACGAGGACAGTCGTGCTGTGATCACAGGCGCTTACAGGTGATCGATCACGAAGCCTGCGTCGAGCAGGCACAACTTTATATTTTATGTCAGGTCCAGAGGCTCCTTATTACTTTGCTATTAACTTTATACCATATAGGACAATGTCTCACAGACAGAGGCATCTGTCTTTGTGGCATTTATCTGCCTCTGTGGCACAAATCAAACATGATTCTTTAATACCAAAGTCAGTTCTTAAGACTGTTTGCTTCAGCCAAACAGCTTAGTACAACTCCGTCTACGCCCTTCGCTTTTATGCTGGATTTATAATATTTAAGCAACATACAACTTTTTTCCCCCCCAAGGCCAGAATTGTATGGTGCATTTGAAATCTATATTTCTCTGATGCATTCCTCTTTGACGTGGTTTACCTTTTTACCACAGAGTGCCCACGCAAATTACAATCAGCTTGGAAAGGGATAGGTATCAAAAGTGTTCCAAATGGCGTAAATAATTCCCTACTGCAATACAGACTGTCTAGGGGCTGACACAAAACATCTTCCATTTCAAGATTTACTTTTATCACCTGTCAGAGACCCTTGATTCAAGGTTACAGGAGCAAATCCTCACGTGAAGTTGAAGAGTCTTGGCCAGCTTAATAACCACCAGCCTGCCCAAAGGAACGCAAAGTGTGAGTTTCTGTGAGAAGTGTGCAGCCTCTTTGACAGATTGTTGACACACAAAGGGCAGTGCTCTATATCCATAGCCATTCGGGTGTTCCCCTCCGACTTTCTTTTACTTTCCTCTCAGAGGTGCCTAAGATGCAGAAAGAACATTCCGTAATGGTTATTCTGGCCAAGGTTGTTGCTGGTGAAGGAGAGAGTGAAGGGCAGCACAGTGCAGGTCGCATGGTTGTGTCCCAGAGGGGGAGAGAGGAGGAGAGGGCATTCACCTTTGTTCTGCTCCCTTGGGAAGGGTGGCTACAGGGAGCCCAACTGACTTACAGGTAGCACGGTTCAACAGTAGTTACTGCTTTACTCTTGGATTTACTCATCTTTCTGGATTTAGAATGACAAAGGACTCAAAAAGAAGGGTTGTTCCCAGTGCACTAAATCATTTTGATCAGTCCTTAACAAGTGTATGATAGTACCTTTCTCGCTTCAGGCAGCAACAAATATTAGCAAGCTAAAATTCTTATTTAAGATTTGTAGATTTTTTTTTCAAATTTTACAACGTAGAAGGTAACGTTTATTTCTCTGACTATATATTGAGACTAAAAACAAAACAAAACAAAACCAAACAACTACTTCTGTATCTGTACTTCAGAAGTATATTTTCCTAAAGGAATTACTTGAAGATGGAGCACCTGGGTGGCTCAGTCAGTTGAGTGTATGACTGTACTGACTGCTCAGAGCCTGGAGCCTGCTTTGAGTTCTATGTCTCCCTCTCTCTCTGCCCCTCCTCTGCTCACACTCTGTGTCCCTTCTCTTTCTCTAAAAAATAAAAAAAAAAAAAAAAAACATAAAAAATTGAAAAAAAGAAAAATTACTTGAAAACACTTCCTGAAGTTACCCGAAGAAATTATCATTTATGGATTGAAAAAACATGCCAATTAGCATATTTCAGCAGTGGCATTGGGCATATAACAAGATGAATGAGTTACAAATTAACCATTATGTACAGAGATGACTGTAGTTTGTATAAATTGTCATGGAGTTTTACCACCAAGAGCCTAGACATGCTTGAGCCTTCTTTACTTAGTGGGTACAGCATAATACTTTATGTAGCATATTTTGGTAGCATTATATATTTTTTTCTGTCAGCCTGTATAGAACTCAAAATTTCTTAGTATTACACAATTTAATCTACAGTGTTGTCAAGTTGGGTATGAAATGACAACTCATCGTTCATTGTAGTGTGATGCTTGCTTAATGTGAACTGCAAATTATTAAAATTATAGAGAGTATGACATTTCCCTTTCAGTTTTTTAAGTTTAAATCATGTCACATAAAAATGGCATAAAAATTTAAATGAAAGAAGCTACATTTACCATGTTTTCTAAGTGCTTATTTTAAATCTCCAAACCAAGGTAAAGAGCTTAGATGACCTTTCATTTGTACCATGAACTCAGACGATGAGTCCATAATATCACCCTTTACCCTCCCAGATTTCTGCCAACTCCATGAAAAGTGGCTAAAGATGCCTACCAAAGCTATGAGAATAAACAAATTAGCCGTGAGTTATGGTGCCACACATTTTCTAATGCTGGGTTGAATAGAGTAAGGAGACATCAGAATATAGTTATCTATTTGCTTAATGAAAAAAGTATTTAAGGTGTTTGGCCACTTGGGTCCATTATGTTAAAAGTGGGAAATTTACCCTACCTAACTGAATCTCTTATTATATAGCTACAATAATCAATAATCTTTATTGGCATAAAGATATACAGATACATCAATGGAACAGAAGAGATCTATGCCTGTATTTGTCACTTGTTTGAGACCAAGGTACAATATTTAGAGATAAATTTAACAAAGCATATGCAAACCCTCTACATTGGAAACTGCAAAATACTGCCCAGAGAAATTAAAGAACCTAAGTAGGATGATATACCATGTTCATAGACTCAGAAGACTCAGATCTCATCAAGCTTCTTATTGTTCTGAAATTGACAAGCTGATTTTAAAATTCATATGGAAATGCAACAAGCTGAAATAATCATCTTTGAGGAAGATGAACAAACCTGAGGACTTACAACACCTGACTTGGTGAGCTACAGGAATCACATCATTCTGGCATCAGCATCAAGGAAGACAAATCTATCAGTGGAATGGAAAAGAGATTACATCTAGATGGTAAATAGATTTTTTACAAAAGAAAAAAGGCCTTTTAATCTTTTTAATATATAATGCTGGAATAACTGGCTATCCTTATACAGTAAAAATGAACTTTGATCTATATATATCATACCATGTATAAAATTACCTCAAAACTAATCTAAATGGAAAATTCAAAACGAAATAAAGTCTAGAATAAAATTTAGGAGAAAAATCTTTGTGACCATAGATTACCAAAGATTTCTTAGACATCACATCAAAAGCCTGATTTATAAGTGGGAAAAAAAACCATAAATTGAAAAATTATAAACTGACAGATTAATAACTTTATACACTAATTAACTTCTCCTACTTGAAAGACACTGTGAGGAGAAGGCCAGGGCAAACCAAAGACTGGGGGAAAATATATGTAAATCACGAATATGATAAAGGATGTATATTTGTAATATATAAAGAACTTTAAAACACTGTTATATGGAGACAAAGAACCAACTAAAAAGAAGTTGAATGAAGAGTGCCTGAGTGGCTCAGTTGGTTGAGCATCCACCTCTTGATTTTTGGCTCAGGTCATGCTCCCAGGGTTGTGGGATTGAGCCTTGCATCAGGCTCTGCACTGGGCATGGAGCTTGCTCAAGATCCTCTCTCTCCCTCTGCCCCTCTCTGCTGCTTTCACACACACTCGCTAACTGTATCAAAAAAAGACAAAAAGCAACGGTTGAATTATTTGAACAAGCACTTCACCAAAGTATATAAACATGTGGCAGATAAGCACATGAAATCCTGAAATGATTCTCAACCTCATTAGAAAAATACAATTTTGAAACATTGACCATACCATGTATTGGGGATGATTGGGAGCAATGGGAACTCTCCTGCACAACCGATAGGAATGTAAAGTGGGCAGACCACTTTGGAAAATAATGTGCCAGTTTCTTACAAAATTAATACCTACCTAGCAATTGACCCAGCCAACCTACACCTAGGTATTTCTCCAAGAGAAAAGGAAATGCATGTCCAAGCAAAGACTTGCACATGAAGATTTATAGCAGCTTTATTTGTAACACCCAGAAATGAAGACAGCTCGAATGTCCTCTACAGGGTGAATGGATAAACAAACTGTGATACGTTCCTACCATGGAATGCTACCCAGCAACAAAACACATATTTATACCTGGTCAACATGAATGAGTTACAAGATAATGCTGAGAGGAGGTCAGACGAAAGAGAGCACATACTTTATGTTTCCATGGGTATAAACCTTTGGAAAAATGCTAACTAATATGTAATGACAGAAAGCAGATGAGGGTTTGCTTGAGGATGGACTGAGCCAGAGAGAGCAGTGCTATAAAGAATCTTTGGTGGGAGGGTGGCTGTGTTCTTTGTCTTAACTGGTGGCAGTTGCGTTCTGCCTCGTATGGTCAGTGCAGATACTTCAAAGTAGTGAAACGATTAATAGCACATGTGTTTTAAGGCAAGTGAGTGCATCACTTTGTGTTTCTCTCATCTGTGTAAACTGCTCTATGACACTGGTGGATAGTCAAGATACTCTGCATTGAATGCATTGAATTCAATGAGCAATTCAGTTCTCTTATAAATGTGAACATTTTCAGATATTCTTTTGTGTGGGTGTTATGTTTTTATGATAGCATATTCCTGTATCAAATTTGAAGAGCTAGACCTATTTTCTTTAGCCTTATGCAAGATGAAGATCATACACTGTCTCTCAAATAAAAGCAAAACCTGCCATCATCATGAAAATGAATCTTTGTATAAGTCACTTCAGTACAGTAGTAGTGTCTGTGCCAACTTAAGTGACCTGACCAGCAAGAAGAAAGAGTTACTCAAGCTGACCCTGGATTGGGTGTTATAGATGACATTTATCCCAAGTACAAGTGGCTGGAAGGCACCAAACTGCCTCTCAGCGGCAAGATTTTACTCTTCCTTGTATATGGTCTTCTTTTTACAAGAATAAATCAAATATTTCCTTGTAGGATCTATTAACTGGTATCTCTACGTTAAATTCACATGCCGTGAAACCACGTTAATTATTTTGTGTTTTTTTTTTTAAATAGGTTATTTATTTTTGAGACAGAGAGAGACAGAGCATGAGCGGGAGAAGGCGCAGAGAGAGAGGGAGATATGGAATCTGAAACAGGCTCCAGGCTCTGAGCTGCCAGCACAGAACCCGATGCAGGGCTCGAACCCACGAACCGTGAGATCATGACCTGAGCCGAAGTCAGACACTTAACCAACTGAACCGCCCAGGCGTCCCAGTTATTTAGTGTTTAAAAAGGTTTACCTTCTTGCTGGTTGGGAGAGCTTGATGCAAACTGCTGGTGTGTGTGCACACTATTCTATCTTTGGGACAGGGCAATATGCCCTTTCCCATGAGCAGGCACCCCTGTGTCAGATGAAAAAGCCCTGCCTTGGGCATCCTGCTAATAAGTACCTTACACATGCTTTGTCTTCTCTAGTCCTCACACGTGTCCACTCGTTGGGCGGTTTTACCCTTCCGACTTGGCTGGGGGGTTGACAGGCAGGGAGCGAAATGCAAACCCTGGTTTGCAAACCCTGATTTGGGCAAACCCTGGCTTGGGACCAAAGTCCATCTGGCTTCTTTTGACTCCACGACTCTAGGCTGCAGGAAGAAAGAACACTGTCAGACAAGACATGTATGTACGCAGCTCACAGTCACTGCAGCCCAGGTGAGGCCATTATAAATAGGCTTAGAAAGAAAGGGGGACAAGTTTCTAAATGTGGCTGATTTCAAGACAGATATAGTTTGTTGCTGCCTGAATCATGTAATTTTATACCAAGGTAGTTCATCCTTTGTTTTCTACATAAGTGAGTATACTTAGAAAACTAGTCTAAAAACATCAGAAGTAAGAAGTGGCAATAGAATTATTAATATATATAAAATTAATCTATTCTCTGTAAAATCACTCAGAAAGAATGTCTCCTGAGAAGAGTATTATTATATATTATAACTGGTTTGGGGGAAGAAGTGGTTATGAAGCTTTCTCTAGTTCATTGGTGTTCACCAGAAATGTCATGCAAGCTACACTTGTCATTTTAGGTTTCCTGGCAACCATATGAAAAAGTGACAAAGCGTGCACCTGGGTGGCTCAGTTGGTTAAGCGTAAAACTTTGGCTCAGGTCATGATCTTACGGTTGATGGGTTTGAGTCCCGCCTCGGGCTCTGTGCTGACAGCTCAGAGCCTGGAGGCTGATTTGGATTCTGTGTCTCCCTCTCTGTCTGTCCCTCCCCCGCTCACACTCTGCCTTTCTCTCAAAAAGAAATTGAATAAACATCAAAAAAAATTTTTAATGAAAAAGTAACTGATGAAATTGGTTTTTTTTTTTTAAGTTAACCAAATGTCTATTCATGTCTTCTGCCCATTTTTTAACTGAACTATTTGTTTTTTGGGTGTTGAGTTTGATAAGTTCTTTATAAATTTTGGATACTAGCCCTTTATATGATATGTTATTTGCAAATATCTTCTCTCATTCCATTAGTTGTCTTTTAGTTTTGTTGATTGTTTCCTTTGCTGTGCAGAAGCGTTTTATCTTCATGAAGTCCCAATAGTTTGTTGTTGCTTCTCTTTTCCTTGATTCAAGAAATGTATCTAGTAAGATGTTGCTATGGCCAGTGTCAAAGAGGTTGCTGCCTGTGTTCTTCCTCTTTCACATTTGGCTCTTCTTTCATCCATTTTGAATTTATTTTTGTGTGTGGTGTAAGGAAGTGGTCCAGGTTCCTTCTGCATGTCATTGTCCAGTTTTCCCAGCGCCATTTGTTGAATGGCCATTTTTAATAGGTATCAATTTATAGCTTTATATTTTCTTCATATTTTAAGATTTTAGTAAGTTTTATACTGTATATTCAAGAAATACCTCTGTAAGATGCTTCTTCATGGTCTCGGCCTCACTGAGATTTTTATGATGGCTTCAGTGTCACACGGTTGGTTAAAGGACTGCAAATGCAGTGCTACAACAGGCTGTGATTTATGATTTCTGTTTGTGTAAGTCACATTTGAACTACATAATGTATACCATGTTTCCATTCAAACACAGAAATAAAAATCAGTGACATCTCCTAACTTGCTCACTCTGAGAATGAATATTCATATGTCACGAATATGAGTAGTCCACTAAACTACTGCTTAACATTTGTGTGGAAAGAAGTTTCCTTTTAAATGGTTTAGCCTTTCATTTCCAGATTTCCGTAAGCATTCATGTACAGCATTGCTTTATGTTTTGCAGGAGAAAAACCCTTCAAATGCGATGAGTGTAACTTTGCCTCCACGACCCAGTCTCACCTGACCCGGCACAAGCGGGTGCACACTGGGGAAAAACCCTACAGATGCCCCTGGTGTGACTACAGGTAATGGTTTCAGTCCTGAGCGAGGGGAAGCCAGTGCGTCACCCTGGTGGATTCACAGGGAAAGAACCGTTTTCCTGATCAGCGCGAATTAGCACCATTTATTAGGTTGGGAGTACCGTCACCATCAAATTTTAGTGCCTATTTTTAAAATTACAAAGTTCTTTTCCATTTTTTATAATCTTAACACTTAGGTTTTATCATCCTCTGTACATCTGAATTTCCAGTGATGTATTTCTTTGCCAAAGTAAGGAACATTCTGTTTAGTCTGTTATTCAGTGCGCCTGCTACCTGGTCTCCAATGAGTGAGGCGCTTTTCGGCAATGAAGACAAGAAACGTCTCCTGCCCTTAAGGATGTTGTAGCAAACTAGGTGACTTGTGGGGTCTCTAAGTGATTATAACACAGATTTCACTGAGTAAATTAAAAGGCCAGGAGCGTCCCCAGAGAAGGAACAAGTCCAGCCACACGACGTCCTACAGAGGACAGAGCATTTCACCCAGGGCTTAACGAAGGAGGAAATGTCAGGTCACATGGGTGTTGTGCCAGCGTGCAGGAGGGTGGTGGTGGCTGTCGTGCTTTCTGGCTGAAAGCGTCAGGGAGATCACGTGTGCTCAGTCCCCTCCCTCAGGCCCTCGGCGGCTAAGTGATTTGTCTGCCCCACTGCAGAGTTACTTTGCAGCAGTGGCAAAGCTTAGATGCCAGAAGCCTGCGACGTATGCAGGGATGGTAAATAATCGCACTTCACCGTGTGATAAGATGTGTGGAGAGCGCAGAGTGAAAAGCTTACAGCCCTCTCTCCCTACACCTGGAGCCTGTGACTGTGTTCAGAGCGCATTAAGTGGTTTGTGGGACACCACCGAGTTTGCAGGAAGCCAGACTGTGAAGCCTGAACCGCTGTGTGAGGGGCCTTGTCTCTCCATCCTGGAGGCGATGGCACGGACCCCGTTACACACGGTGACACAGAGACACTGAGGGCGGTCCTGTCGGCGCAGCCCGCTGTCGTTCAATGTTAGGATGTATACCTTACGGCTGAAGCCTTCGTTAAAAAAGACATTTTTGTATTCCTGTGCATGTAGCCTCTGCATTCAGTAAATATATTGCCATAATCTCTATTATTATCCTCATTATTGCATTAAGTTTTATGTTAAAGGTCATTTAATAGTACAGAGATATTACAGATATATTTCATTCATTAATTATTCATTCATTCAACATTTTATGAGTTCTGTCTTTGCTTAGTACTGGATTGGTGTTTCTTGGAAATTTGGTAAAATGGTGGTCCAATTAGAGGTAGACACATACGTTTTAAGGTGTTGATATGAGTTCCTTAAAAAAAAATAAACATTTTGAATGTTCTTTTCCTTATTAAAGAGGTCATACTATGTAGTTGCCTTCTCTGAAAAACACAGAAAAGCAATTAGAAAAATTATAAAAATTTCCCTTAATTATCACTTTTAGCTGTTAGGATTATATCCTTTTAGTTTATACTGTATGCATTGGATTGGAGTTGTTTGGGGAGCTTTTTTTGTTTCTTATAATTTTTATTTTTCATACTTAACAAATTGTAACTACCTTTCTCTTTCATTAATCTTGTATAACTATGGTTTTCAAACTGTTACTTTTCTTTAGATGTTTACATATTTATCTTAGAGAGAGTATGCGAGCAGGGAAGGGGCAGAGAGAGAGAGAGAGAGAGAGAGAGAATCCCAAGCAGGCTTCACTATGTCAGCACAGAGCCCAATATGGGGCTTGATCTCATGAACCTTGAGATCATGACCCGAGCTAAAACCAAGAGCCGGACCCTTAGCCCACTGAACCACCCAGGCACCCCTCAAACTGCTACTTTTATTTTATTATTATTATTTTTTAATATTTTTATTTCTAGGAGAGAGAGAGAGAGAGAGAGACAGCGTGAGCAGGGGAGGGTCAGAGAGAGAGGGAGTCACAGACTGAAACAGGCTCCAGGCTCTGAGCTGGCTGTCAGCACAGAGCCCGACGCGGGGCTCGAACCCACGAACCTCGAGATCGTGACCTAAGCGAAAGTCGGACGCTCAACCGACTAAGCCACCCAGGCGCCCCTCAAACTGCTACTTTTAAGTAGCAGAACTGATATTTCAAACAGGAGCTTGTTTACACCCCGTATACAAAGTGGATAAAAGTGGTTTTTACTACTTATAAGTAGATTTCGTAGTTGAAATCTGTAATATTTACTTAGAATATTAAAAACTCATCATGTGATACTGTTTTGACAGCCAAAACATTTCAGCCAGGGGAGTTGCTTCTAACCGCAGCTGTTGGGTTACAGCCTCGTCTCGTTTCTGCCCCTCGGGGCGGGGTAAGCGGGAGGCTGTAGCTGGGAGCCTGCTCTGGAGGGGCCGACGCAGGTGGGGGCATCCTTAACCCGAGGGCCGCCGCGCCTCCTTCGGCCGTCGAGGGGACGGAGAGCTGCGGCCGCACAGGGGTGTTGCGCATGCCGGTCGAGGCGCACTCGGGCACCCCGGCCGCCCCGGTGCGCCGAGCCCTCCGTGTGTGAAGTGTATTTACAACACACGCCACGGTGGGGTTCCCCCGGTTTTTGAAGCTGTTAAAAACCCATTAAATCCAAAATCAGTTGTTGGATAATTGCTGAAATACTTTAGAATTTCAAGTGCCTCATTTGGAAATTTCTCTTCCATTATAAAATTGTACTACTTGCATAGGTCTGAGTTAGAGTAATAAACGGTAGCCACTTTATTAAGTTTTTAGACATCTGGACCATTTTTAGTTTTTTACCTTAACAATGCTTATTCCTAAGTCTTAATGCATATCTTATGCGTGACTTTGAGAAACAAATTCCTGGAAGCATGATATATGGTTTTTAATAATAGTATTACCACAATGGTTGGGATTTGAATACTGTCTCACCAGTAAGTCCCGTGTTTTGCTAGACTCTTAAGTCGTTGTGTGCGTAACATTTAAGGCCCTTCCAGTTTCTCGGTCTGAAATTGTGTTACGCTTTTGCTGAGCATGAAGTGATACTTCCTGTCCCACGTGCAAGTTTTTTGCTGGACGTCCTGTCCCTTCCACGTAGAAGTGCGTCTGCGCCCGCCGGGCTCCATCTGACCCTCCATCAGCCACTGGGCACAAAAGGAGATTGTGTTTTCTTAGAATATTGTCGCTGTCCTATGAGTTAATACTCAGGACACTTAAATCTAACGATCTGTCACATTTCCTTTTGAAATGTTTGAAATTCTTGATAAAAACCTGGTTTTATCTTCACTTCAAACTTTTAAAAAATTTGATTATTATTGACGGTTAGTAGTTTGAACGCTTTGTATTTGTAGGACAGTCTTATCATTCTGTGTACATGTGGTTAGGTCTGCTTTCAGTGGTGAGCAAAAGACAAGTTAACCTTGCCGAGGAATACAAAACCTAGCAAATACATGAATAGTGATGTAGGAACTATTAATGAAGTATGGAATTTACAGCAGATAACTTTTGTTTTCTTGTTGATAAACAGAAGACTTAAAAATAAGCAGTTCACAAGGAATGTTTTGGTTGCATAGCGTAATAAGCAGGAAAGGCTTACCATTTCTATCTTACAACAACAAGGAAAATATCTTTTTTCACAGGGTAGATAAATTTGAGTGTGTATGATTTCCATTTTTAAGATGATCACACAATAAACTATTGAAGAAAAAAAATGATCACATATTTCAGAGAAGATATGATAATTTTTGTCTTGATATTTTTCTGTAATATTTTATTGCTTAAAATACTTAAATAACTCTTTCCCATTTAGATTTTTGTTCTTAATATAGGCAGATAAAATTATTCCTTCAGATAGATAAAATTATCCCTTAATATAGATAGATAAAAATGATTCCTATCTTTGTCATTATTAACATTTATTTGCAGGTAAAGTTACCATCATTAGAAACTGAAGTATTATTTAAGTTTTACTTGAAAATATATTTTTTACTATATAAATGGAATATTAGTGAAGAAATACTTGTAGTTATCATTATTCATGAAAAATGTGAATATAGATTTGTTTACAGAAGAATTTTATAATTGGTCTTTTGAACCTGGAGCTATTTTTCAAGTTTGCATTATTAATTTAGGCAATGACATCTCATTCTATTCAGATGTAAACATGTACCCGTTTCCTAAGCTTTTACTGTCTAAAACATCCAAAAGTCTAATCTATTATAAATCAGTATATTCCATCATTACTCTGTAACTTTTTCACCATTATTTACTATTCATTATAATTTCAAAGCATAAATTTAGATTCATGGCACAATGTCCTACCATATTACCTATGCAGCAAGTTCTTAAGATTTGTTTCTACATTAAATGGAAGCAGTCTAGCGTTTTTTCTATATTTTTATTTCCCTTTGTTATGTATTAATTGTCACTTCTGTGTTACAAAATAGAAAACCTCTAGAATGTTATAGTAAGTACTCTTTCTAAAAACGTTAAGTCTTCATTTCCCCATAGAATTTGTTAATATCAAACTATGTTCTGTTTCACTGGTGACACTGGCTCACACACACACACACACAAAAGATGGTTATAATTGGGCTTTCTTTTATGTGAAACATCTCATTGGCTTCTGGTTTTTATTTAGGATTTGTGGGGGAAATACAATAAATGTATATGAAACAGTAAACCACTGATACTTCATGAGAACTAAGACAAAATGCTACCTGTAGTACTAAAAATACTTAAGGTAATAGCATATTACACTTTAAATGCCATTTAGCAAATTAAAGAAAACTAAAATTTCAAGTGAAACTCTGGCAATTTGATCATTTATGTATTGTGTCCCTATAACACAATATAGGATGTTGGAGTAACTTCAGTGTTCCCTTTGATTGCTTTTGTCTGGACTTTTCCTCTACTGTGTAACTGCCTTAGTACTTCTAGTCTTACACACATTCTTTAAAAATTTTTTTTTTACTCTTCTACTTGTTATTTTATTTACTATTCTTATTATTTAAGTTACTTGACATTATA